TGACATAGCACATGGGTTAAGTGTCTTTTTTAATTGAAAAGTTAACAAAGTTTCCAGTTACATTTCTATCAGAAAAACCCACAAACTGGATAGTAACTAATCTCTAGGCAATATATTCAAAGCTAAGAGAATTAGAAATGTAAAAAAAAAAAAAAAGTCCTCGGATCCCATTAAGGGAGCCCTGCTACACACAAGCTAATCAATACCACTGTTACTCCTTGCCTCTAGGAGGCTGGAAGACATGCTAATAACCCCACTCAGAACATCTACTTCAAGTAGTCTTTCTCCAGTTTCCAACTCATGAATTAAGATAATATTTTGTTAATTCTATTTCAGAAAACTTTTTGTAAGTTGTTTTATGTGCAATGTCAACTTTTAAAAGGTCACTAAAGTTAACTGGACAATAAACTAGGCAGAAATCGCTTTACGAAAAGAAGGGAAAGCCTTCTTTCCATAGAGAATCCACAGTTCAGTTTTATTCAGAGTGAAGAAAAAAGAAACTTTTGATCATAGTCGAAGAAAATCGGGCATAGGTTTGGAATCTGTAGTCAAACTACACATGCAATGAGAACAATATTCTGCTAATACAATGGATCTGCTACTGCATTTGTCTATTGTTTGTCTGGTATTAACAATGATAAACATCACAGTGCAACTAGTATTTGGGGCAATCCTGACAGTGTTGCAGCGTCAGACACAACATTCTACTTCTCTTCACACCACTGGTTCTCCGGGCATACCTGGGCTTCTTCCTCTTCAGTAAAGTCGTTTTTGATATTGAAGTTCTTGTGAATCTCCTTAGGAGTTTTCCCCTTGCATGTTATATCAAACAAACATTTTATGTCTAAGTAGTTTGCAGCTAGAATAAGTTCAAAAAGTGTTCCTTGGTCAATTTTCAGGAACTCTTGGTCACAAACAGGGATATCATCTGTTCTCTTTTCATTGTTCTCACAGTCCTCAGGAAGAGGAGGGTCATCCCGGTGGTGGGTGCACCACTGAATGACTTTTTAAAACATTGCTGCGTCAACATTTGATAGAGGAACTGGATCATCATCTCCTTCATCATCCCTTCCCAAAGCTGTCTTTTAGGGACACTTGGGTTGCTTCCATGCTCTTTATTAGTGACCATATCATACTCCTTCATTCAACAGGTATTTGAAGAACAGAGACTTCCAATTTGGTCTTTGTAGTCACAGACTATACCAATTTCCACATCAACTTCAAGTATCTCTCCATCAGAACTCTGCCACTTAATCAAAGGCATGGTGTTCAGTCTGAAAGGATGGCCAGCCAGAGGCTGAGAAGAGCTGGGTGGCATCAGCACAATAAGAGAAAGGCAGAGGACAAGACCACCACCTGAATTGAAGAGTCAAACAGATTCCCCATTGGTATCTACCTATAGTCATGTGAGGGACATTTTGGAAATGATTTGTTGAGTAGGAAACTTATGAAAAACCATGGACATTTCATAATCACAAATGAACAACCCTGACATCAACTTCCAGACACACCAAAATGGGCTGCCAGATTTAGCAAGTAAAAATACAGGGTACCCAGTCAAATTTTAATTTCAAATAAATGATAAATTTTTCAAAATATAAGTGTGTCCCAAATATTACATGGGCATGCACTAAAAATTATTTTGTAATTAAAAAAGTTTTCACTATACTAAAAATGTATTCATTCAATTTATTCATTAAATGTAGTGCATTGTAATACACTAAAAATTATTCTGTACTAAAAAAGATTATTCATTATTTATCTGAAATTCAAATTTCACTGGACATGCTCTATTTTATCTGGCAATCCCATGCTAAGACATTTTAGTAGCAATGTTTTTCCCTCTTATTAGAATGTGAGTCTCTTTATGGTAGGGATGAAGTAATTCATACTTTAGCAGTACATGATACATAATGGACACACAACAGAAATGAACGAATGTAAAGGATAAATTTTTACGAATCCCAAATTCATTCTCTCCATGAAAACTCTTGAGTTTTGAAATTTTTGTCAAATCCTCAATTAAGGTAACCATTATCTACGTCTAGAAATATTCTTTTCCTTTGTAGGTCCAATTAATATAGTTAATTCTTATTTCTTTGTTTAAACTTTTCATATTAAATGGCAGGTTATACTTATTGAGAGTGATACTACTCCTAGAGCTTTGTTTTATACATGAGTTTGGATTTACAGAATGCTCCAGGATGTTATGTAGATGAGAAGAAAACAGATCTAGTTCACCAAGTTAATGCTTTAGATAGATGTACTCTCTGTCTCCGTCTCTCTGCCTCTTTCTGTCTCCTCTCTCTCTCTCTCTTTCTCTCTCTCTCTCCACACACACACACACACACACACACACACACACACACACACACACACATTCAGACTCTGAATAAAGGCATGTAGTTTTACAAGTTTATAAATTCAATTCACCATAGCTAATGCATATTAATCAGGTAACACATCTCAGAAATTACCATGACCCCAGTAAAATTATGAAATACGAGATACAGTATGTTTCTGATGTGCCTGCCCTTCTGATGTCTTCTTTTCTTTCATACCTGGGCTGTTTCAGTGACCTATTTTCCAAGGAACTCAACCTCCCACTCCATTATCACTCTCCATGACTATCGGAACCACATCAGTTGGTCCTCCAGGTCAGTTTTCCATGGCTGTCACTCAGTCTCACAGAATTGGTTGCTATCCTGCTCCTTGTACAACCACAATACCAACGTGACTACTCCCTCCAGGTAACTTTTGTGACTTCCCAGGCAAATGATAATAACCTTAACTATGAGAAACAAATTATCAGAAAACATAGATTCGTTTCCCATTTTACCAGAGAAACTTTTATTTCAACAGTGCTTTTGTTTGGTGATCTAACTCAACAAAATGACTAGTGATGTCACTTTCTGGCCAAGTAAGAGAAGAGTTAATGTGATGGCTGTTGGGACTGTTGGACTATTGCAGTCTAGCGGGGTATCCTTGATAATTGGGACCTCCGGGAACACCATACATTCCCATGAGCAAACCTACCTTCCTGCAAATAGTTGAAGTTCTTGGAAGTTCTGTCCATGGTTCCCCCTTGTGTTATATTTCAGATACAAGCTGATCCACTAAGAAATCAGTGTTTGCCTTAGTCTAACTACACTCAATCTGTTCAAATTTAATTCATGCAGGATATTATTTTTATAACATAGGACATCTGCTTCTTTCATTCTTTTCCCCACTGCCTTTGACATCTATTTTTTCCTGCTAGTCCTTCTTGCTTGACTACACATCTCTAGGAAACTTTCCTTTCTTACTCCAGTCAATATTAAATAAACACTTTCTCTGAACTCTCAGTGCATTTCCAGTTTATACACATACACACTTCCATTTTCTTCCTATGTGGGAACTCATATGAGCAACTATCAATCCCCACAATATTTCTTGTAAAGGTTTCAGCATTTCTATTTCTATTCACAGAAGAATAAAATCAAGGATCAACTTCTTAATATTGGTATGTATTCCTGAATAAACACTCTAAACAGTTTCAAAAGCTGTTATAAGACAACTATAATTAATTCCTGAAGCAATAACAAACTGCACCATTAGCTCTGCGCATTTAGCCAAGTGTTCGGAGGCTGTGGATATTAGTGAGAACTGATAGTAACACTTTATAACCCAAATTCGTATGCAGTAAGTTTTCTTTAAATTTTTTAAAGCTAGAACACTATTTTTTTTTTTTGACACTAGAATAGGGCACAGGAGTACACACTGTACAGATACTTACATCAAATTGTTACTAAGAATATATGGGATAATTCCAGAACTTGGCTTTCTGTGCCTTAGATGGGACTCCTAAAAGGCTCCAAATTGGGTCTCATATAAGAAGAAAAATGTACTAATAGTTAAAGAATATCATATAAATGAAAATCTCATGAATTTTCAAGGCTGGGTATAGTCAGGCATTTGCAGAATAACACATTACCTTCTTGTTTCCTTTAGGCTTCAATGAATTCAACAAACATTTAGAAAACTTTTTTTTGTTTTTTTGCTGTTGTGCTAGGAGCTGGGCTTATATATCGTTTATATACTCTTCAATCAAGCAATTAAAAAATCTTGCTGTGGGGCCCTGTGCTAGGAGGCACTTGGGTAGTTAGTTCTGTCCTGCAGGACCATTGCAGTGTTGAAAGTTCCCCCACAGCTGTGCGCAGCAGGATGGTTTGATTGGGGTCTAGTGAAGGGGCAAGGTCACAACCAGGGCTGGAGAGTTGGAGTCAACTGCCTCAAAGGTGATGGGGTCTAGCACTTTGGTTATTTGGAAAATGGAAAGAAAAGGGGGAGGAGAACCCCACATACTCAGGCGCCCCCGCCACTTTCTGATTGGACTCACTAAGCATCTACAGGGAGAACAACAATAAAATGAGAAACATTCCCGGGGTGAAACCCAAAGGTCAACCTCTGGCTGTGCGGGACAATGGGGGGGCGGAGGACTGGCCTTCTCTTCTCCCCCAAAGTGATGCAGGAGTCTTAAAGAAGAGACATTTTTCTCGGGGAAGATTCTAAACCCCAGCGGGTTCCACAAACTCCAGGGCAGCAAAACCACTGGCAGCAGACCGAGGGAGGAGTGTCGCTATGTGAATCGCTACGTTGGGATCCGGACCCAGAGCGACAGCCGCGCCCCTCCGCCCCCCGCGCGACCCCGGGCCGCCGCACGCTCCCAGCCGCGCCGTCCTGCGCCCCCGCCCCCGCCGGGAGCCGCGGCGCGCACAGCCCGGCCCGAGCGCGCACCCGGCACTCCGGCGCCGCGGGCTCGGAGCGCTCAGACCGCGGCGGCCGCAGCCGGCGAAGCAGACAAACTCCGCACGCCCGCGACATGCGCCTCGGCTAGCGGCTCCGGTCCCCCGCACCGCCACGCGTCTCTCTCTCCCTCTCTCTCTCTCACACACACACGCACACACACGCACACGCACACGCACACGACCTCATATCTATACACTGGAGGATTAAAAAGGAACATTTCCTTCGCGCCCCCTCGCTCGCCACCCTGCGAAGCAAAGGAGCCGCGCGCGGTGAGGGGCCCGGACCGTCTGGAGATGCTCATCCTAAAGCGCCTCCTCGCTTGCATCCAGCTGCTGTGTGTTTGCCGCCTGGGTGAGTGATAAGACCTCGGTGGGGTTTCATCTCCGCGATCGGTGGGACGCGGGTTGGGGGATTTCAGCCAGTTCGCCACTTGCTGCCGTCGCCATCTAGCAAGGAGGAAAAAGGGACCGTCGACTCGGCTCCCGCGGTGGCGGCGGCGGCGCGATGGGTGTCAGCTGCGTGGGAGATACGCGCCCCCTCCCCACCTCGCGCCGCCGCCTTCCCTGTGCCCGCGGGGGAACGTGCCCCGGACCCTGCAAGACACAGGCTGGGTTATCAGGTCCCTGCCGCCGCGGTTCTTCTCTCCTCTTTTGCAAAGTGTGGACGTAGCCTTTCAGATATACATAACGAAGATAAATAAATGACCAGAAATACAACTGTGGTCCGGGGCTACATACTACACTGTATTTTTGTTGTTCATTTTCATGCTACAGGTATTATGGGCTTAAATGAAAAATACACGTGTCTGGTGTGAACTGCACACACACACACTCACACACACCTGAAAGGTAGTAACAGGAACAAGCACCAACCTGACTTTTTAGTGTTTTTTAGTACTTTCAATTTAGTCACATTCAAGTCCGGGCAGTTACTTAAAAAAAAAAAGTTCAATCAAAATCTATATCTGCATTCTGCCACTGCTGCCAAAGCCAGAGGAGAGCTGCAGGTCCATGTATTTATTCATGGATTCGTCTTTCATCCACCACTCTCCAGGTTACAGATTTAAAACTGAAATTGCATTCTGAAATAGCCAGTTTGAGCATTTACCTGGGATGCAGATTCAAGTTTTCCCATCATTTTCCGGAAAAATTGTAAAATTGGATTTTTGCATTTTATTTTTTTCCTTCATGAATATTTTGCATAACAATGGACTATAATAGATTTGAAGGCATTAACCTGAAAGTTACAAGATGTGCCTCGGTTTTTGAGTACAGGTACCTAACTCTTTTCAGTCAGATGAACCCAAGTTTTAAATTTCAGATGGTTCATAATACAGTAGCTATTAAACCTACATTTTCATCCAATAGATGGTGCTGCTCTTGGCATAGTAGCGTTTACAAACAGAAAATCATTTTTCAAGTTCTAACTAATGAGAATTGCTTGAAAATACGGTCATAATTGCCCATAGCCCACTACATACATGGACATGATTTAAATTCCAAAAGCCTTATAAAAGTGCTCTGGGCTAGTGTAATGCACACAGTTGACATATAATACTTGCAGGGGAATCTCTGGTCCTGGTTGACTCTAAAAACTTACAATTGATTCTGGAAAGGGGAAGACATGTTTTAAAAGTGCTGTAGTCATCAAACACACACCTGTTGAATTTATACTTCTGTTATAGGTCTATTTTATCAACAAAGCCAGGTCCTCTTAATACTTAAACTATTATTTAAGTAACTCTCACAGTAGTACGGAAGTAAACCAGAGAGTATTGCTTTGTATGTCATCAAAACCACATACCCAGAGTAGCTTGTGAATCCTTTTGTTTTAAAAAAATTGAGATAAAATTCACATATCATACAATTCATCTTTTTTAAGTGTACAAATCAGCCGCTTTTAGTATATTCATTATGCTGTGCAGCCATCATCACTATCTAATTCCGGAACATTTAAATCACCCCCCAAAAAGAAACCCCACACTCATTAGCAGGCATTCCCCGTTCCCCATAACCCCAGCTCCTACCAACCACTAATCTACTTTCTGTCTATAGATATGCCTATTCTGAACATTTTATAGAAATAGAATCATGCGACATGTGGCCTTTTCTGTCGGGCTTTCTTCATTTGGCATAATGTTTTAAAAGTCCATCCATGTTATAGCATGTATCAGTACTTCATTCTTTTTGTGGCTGAGTAATATTCCATTATGTGAATATATCACATTTGCAAAGATTTTTCTCAGTAAAGCATTCTTTGTAGCCTATTTTTTGGTTGTGTAGATTTCAATTTATTGGACATTTTCTTTAACTTTTTGGTGATGTAAAATGTAAGCATAAAAAATTGAATTCATTGTTTAAGACTATGACAAGCTTATGTAATGATGTTCAATTTAATACTGTAATGAAACTCAAAATGCATTGTGGGTTTTTTGTTCGTTTTGTTTTGTTTTGTTTTGAGACTGGAAGGTGACTGCTTTTGTATCCCTTACCATTTTGACAAAGTTCTCCTTTTACATTGCTGCCAACAAGCTGACCTAGAGACATTGCTAACCTAAAATGGCATGAATATCTTGATCTTGGGGTAGCATGTTTTGAAAAACTGAAGCACATTATGTAAGAGTGAAAAATTCAGCCTCCACTTCAACTGTTTTTCCCCTAGCACCTGCTTTAGTGTTTGTGGATATGTTTATTCCTCATGTTCAGTGTCCTTGAATGCAATGAGGTATCCTGGCACATGCAATAGGTGCTTAGTAAGGGTCTATCAACTGACCAAGACTCACTGCACAAGATGACAGCTCGATACAATGTGAACATTAGGCTGCCACTCTTTCCATTACCCAGGAGTAACTTGTAGAGTTCACTAAGGTGCTCATTAGTGGCATTAAGAAAGTCTTAGTGTTCAGGATCATATCACTTTCTGAGTCCAAAGTGTTCTGATGTTATGAACTGGGAATACAGACCAACTCCTTCTTTCAGAAAACGTTCCAAACAGAGTATATGGACTGAAACACATTTCTTCTTGACACTGAACAGGTGTATCTTATGGGGAAAACTGCAGTGGCTTTCCTGTAAGGAGGCTTAACTATGAGTCATAGAGAAGAGGTAGGTGTTTTAAGAGCTTTTAAGGAATAGTTTCTTCCAATTAATGAGAATTCAGGGTCTTTGAATTAAGTGAGTTATAGCGCTGCAAGGTACACTAAGTTCAAATGTTTAAGTATTATTATTAAATATGTAATGAATCAGATTCTGAACTTTTTAGTCATGTCTTGCCATTTTAAGAGCTACATTAACAAGTTGGGTATAACAAATTATACCCAACTCCTCTTCAATAATTAATTTCTTAATTTATCCTGGCTATGGAGTCAGTGGAATTCAATATGTTGTAACTCTCGGTTTGGTCTATTTATCCTCTGAAAACAAATTGTAACCACAAATATAGAATATTCATGGTTTTTCTCCCAAATAATAACTAGTCTCCATTCAGAAAATTAATTACTTTTGATTTGCAGAGTAGCAATTTTCTTTATTTCATTTCTCTCTTCTTTTCATGCAGACTGTGGTTGCATGCACTCAGGGAAATTTGCCAGGATAAATCATTTCATTGATGAATTCATTTCAGCTCTCATGTCTGCACTAGAGATTTAAGATCTTGCTTAAAATTTTATGTGGTGGGAATTTTGCTTCTGGCAAAAATTCAGGTTTTTCTGGAAGCATGATTTGCATTTCCCCATTCTCTTTAACTCCCAAAAGATTTTTTTTAGTCTTTCTTTAAAATTTCAGAATATTACGTGGATATAAATGTTTTGGTTGCATAATTTGCTTTTGTACAATTTGAGTCGAAGTTATGAGTGTGTCCATCACCTTGATAGTGTGCATTATACCCATTAGGTGTGAATTTAACCATCCCTACCTCCCCCCACCTGCTTTATTTCTGTTAAGTTTTATTTTCATATGTGTACATAAGTGTTGACCCATTAGTTCCAATTTAGTAGTGAGTACGTGTGGTGTTCGTATTCCCATTCTTGTGATACTTCACTCAGAAGAATGGTCTCCATTTCCATCCAGGTTGTTACAAAAGGTGTCAATTCACCATTTTTTTTTTTATGACTGAGTAATACCCCATCGTATACATATACCACATTTTATTAATCCACTTATGTATCGATGGGCACTTGGATTGTTTCCATATCTTTGCAATTGTGAATTGTGCTGCTATAAACATTCTAGTGCCACTGTCTTTTCTATAGAATGTCTTTTATTCTGTTGGGTAAATACCCAGTAGTGGGATCGCTGGATCAAATGGCAAGTCTACTTTCAGTTCTTTGAGGTATCTTCACACTACTTTCCATAGAAATTGTACTAGTTTACTACCAGCAGTGTATAAATGTTTGTTTTTCTCAGCATCCATGCCAGCATCTGTTGTTTTGGGACTTTTTGATAAAAACCATTCTCACTGGAGTCAGGTGGTATCTCATTGTGGTTTTGATTTGCATTTCCCTGATGATTAGAGACATTGAGCATTTTTTAAATATGTTTATTGGCCGTTAATCTAACCTGCTTCCTTAACGCAGTAGGCAGTGTGTCAGTCTCGTAATCTGAAGGTCCAAAAAGATTTGAGTAATGTCTGAGAGCTTTATTTGACCAGCAATTTGCCAACTGCTCAGACCATAGCATGGAAATGGAACTCCCTCAGTCAGGACCAGAGGACCTCAAAGGAAGGACTTGATTGAGAAGATGAGCTTGTGTTTTATTTCCAGTTACCATCAACTCAAGTGTTTACCATGTACATTCCCGGTACATTTTCTCATTTCATTTTCCCCCAAACCCTTTGATGTTCATGTTTTCATCTTCTACCTTTTATAGATTAGGAAACATGGCACAGAGAAGTCCAATAACTTACCTAACATCACACAGCCTGTTTCAACCTATATATTCTTTCTGACTCCAGAGCCTGATGCTTCTTCTCTTTTTATTCCTAGAAGATCAGTTTGCTGTTTATGATTTACTAGTCTTGCTTACGTGGGATGTGATGGTACATTTTAGAATCTCATTTGTTTTCCTGCAGATCCCCTTCATGATTTTTCCCATGTGCTTTTTTCCCATAATGCTTTTTTGTCCTTTAAAAAATAATTGTCATAATTTGCTTTTTCTAGTGTGCCATCTTGAAAGTTTTGACAAATGCATATGGTCACGTAATGACTGTCATTATCCAGATATAGAACAGTCCCATCCATACTACTTTATCTGCTCATTCATTACATGTTTACCACGTGCCCCGACATCTGCTAGGCACCATGCTAGACGCTAATAATTCAGCAGAGCTCTGACACTCATGATATGTGCAATCCA